GCAATGATTTATATTCGATATTTAAAGTGAAAGGTAGTGCCTTGTGGAATCAAAAAATCCACTAATGGATTTGTCCCAATCCTCATATTATGATGCCGAACCACAGGTCCTTACTGTGTGAATTAAAGTGAATACTGTGCCAATGACATGATACACACCTTGTGTGTAGAAAAATGCTCAAGTGCCAAAAAACTTTGAAGAACCTACAGCTGAATCATAATAGATACCAATATTGCATAACTTAGATACTGCAACATTAGTACAAGTGGTATAAAAAGTGAGTTCTTATATGATTATAGAGCCCAGTGAAAGCAATAATTAAACACTATTTATGTATAGTATAGAAACACTATAGTCACCTAAACAACTTTAGCTTAATGAATCAGTTTTAGTGTATAGATCATGTCTCTCAGGTCACGGTGTCACTGCTCAATTTACTGCCGTTTAGGAGTTAAATCACTTTTTCTGTTTATGCAGCCCTTGTCACACCTCCCCTGGCTGTGACTGACACAGCCTGCATGAGAAAAAAATGGTTTCACTTTCAATCAGATGTAATTTACCTTAAACAATTTTATCTCTTGCTCTGTAAATTGAACTTTAATAGGCATGTGCGTGGGGGAAATTTTCGGTTCGGCATTCCGAAATTCGGGACTTCAGGATTTCGGCACTTCAGCAACTTTGGAACTTCGGTACCTCGGCACTTTGGGACTTCTCTTGCAGCCGCTTAGTAGATAACTCCCTAATTCCCACAGTATTAGGGAGTTATCTACCAAAAGGCTGAAAGACCTAAATTGTTTTTTCAGCCAAATTTACTAATACTAAGTAAAAATTACTTAGTATTAGTAAATTGTGCCCCTACTCACTTTACCGCAAGTAGGGGCATGTATATTAAAGGAAAAAAAAAACAAGTGTTCCCCATCCCGAGCCCCCCACCAGTCCCTTCATTTACCTGTCAGAGCACTCTGATTGGATGCCTTAAACCAACCAACCAGAGTGCTCTCAGCCTAATTGCAGGGCGGGGCAAGGCTTTATAAGCCTTCCCCCACCCTGCAGAGCTCAGTCTGCGCGGAGCCCTCCATGGGTGAAGAAGGATCAGGAGTGGGGGCCGGGGGGGAGGACATTAGGTCCCCCCCTTATTAGTATTTAGGGCCCCCACCCACCTCTCAGAGGTGGGGGCCAGGGCGGAGGACATAAGGTCCCTCCCCTTTATTCTAATTTAGGGCCCCCACCCACCACTCAAGGGTGGGGGCCAGGGGGGAGGAAATTATGTCCCCCTTATTGGTATTTAGGGCCCCCACCCACTGCTCAGGGGTGGGGGCCGGGGGGGAGGATATAAGGTCCCCCCCTTATTCTAATTAGGACTCCCACCCACTGCTTAGGGGTGGGGGCCAGGGGGGAGGACATTAGGTCTCCCCCCTTTTTGGTATTTAGGGCCCCCATCCACCGCTCAGAGGTGGGGGCCAGGGCGAAGGACATTAGGTCCCCCCCTTTATTCTAATTTAGGGCCCCCACCCACCGCTCAGGGGTGGGGGCCGGGGGGGAGGACATTAGGTCCCCCCCTTATTCTAATTAGGACCCCCACCCACCGCTTAGGGGTGGGGGCCAGGGTGGAGGACATTTGTTCTCCCCCCTTTTTGGTATTTAGGGCCCCCATCCACCGCTCAGGAGTGGGGGCCAGGGGGGAGGACATTAGGCCCCCCCCTTATTCTAATTTAGGGCCCCCATCCAACGCTCAGGGGTTGGGGCCAGGGGGGAGGACATTAGGTCTCCCCCCTTTTTTGGTATTTACGGCCCCCATCCACCGCTCGTGGGTTGGGGCCGGGGGAAGGACAATAGGTCCCCCCCTTATTCTAATTTAGGGCCCCCACCCACCGCTCAGGGGTGGGGGCCAGGGGGGAGGACATTAGGTCCCCCTTATTCTAATTAGGGCCCCCACCCACCGCTTAGGGGTGGGGGCCAGGGGGGAGGACATTAGGTCTCCCCCCTTTTTGGTATTTAGTGCCCCCATCCACCGCTCAGGAGTTGGGGCCGGGGGGGAGGACATTAGGCCCCCCCCCTTATTAGTATTTAGGGGCCCCACCCACCTCTCAGAGGTGGGGGCCAGGGTGGAGGACATTAGGTCCCCCCCTTTATTCTAATTTAGGGCCCCCACCCACCGTTTAAGGGTGGGGGCCAGGGGGGAGGAAATTAGGTCCCCCCTTAATCTAATTAGGGCCCCCACCCACCGCTTAGGGGTGGGGGAAGTAGGGAGGACATTAGGTCTTCCCCTTTTTTGGTATTTAGGGCCCCCATCCACCGCTCGTGGGTGGGGGCCAGGGGAAGGACAATAGGTCCCCCATTATTTTACTTTAGGGCCCCCACCCGCTGCTCAGGGGTGGGGCCGGGGGGGGACAATATGTGTCCCCTCCCTTATTTTACTTTAGGGCCCCCACCCACCGTTCAGGGGTGGGGGCCGGGGGGGCAATAGGTCCCCCCTTCATGTTAGAAGCCCCACTCGCACGGCATGGATGGGGGCCCGGGAGGGGGGACATGTTTTTTTTTGGGGGGGAGGGGGCAGGCTGCTCACTGTTTAATAGACATGCTCCTTCTCGCATGATATAGCGAGTAGGGGCATAATTTACTATTACTAAGTAATTTTTACTTAGTATTAGTAAATTTGACTGAAAGAACAATTTAGGTCTTTCAGCCTTTTAGTAGATAGCTCCCTGATACCATGGGAATTAGGGGGTTATCTACTTATTCATTCCTGTCATTCCATTGGCTGGCTAAGTAACTTACATTTTATATGAATGTGTGTTACTTGATTGTTGTAAGTGTTGCAAATGCTTACAGCTGAATCCTGGCTATGTTTGTATACTTTTTGTATACTTTTTATTTAAACTTGTATACAGTGTAACATTCTTCATTCTTCCATTGGGTAAGTATATTAGTACGTAGGCAATACTGTGCTTCGGAACTGCGGCACTTTGACACTTCGGAACTTCGTCACTCTGGAAATTTGGCAACTTCGGGACTTTGGCAATTCGTAAGTTCGACAATTCAGCTATTCGGACATTTGAAGTACCTGAATGTCCAAATTGCACGAAATTCGTCCAAATTCGCATTTGGACCGAAACAAATTGCACATGTCTATACTTTAATCACATACAGGAGGCTCTTTCAGGGTCTAGCAAGCTATTAACATAGCAGGGGATAAGAAAATCTAAATTAAACAGAACTTGCGATAAAGGAAGGATAAACTGTAGATGACTCTTCACAGGAAGTGTTTAGGAAGGCTGTGCAAGTCACATGCAGGAAGGTGTGACTAGGGTTCATAAAAAAAAGGGATTTAACTCCTAAATGGCTTTGAGGATTGAGCAGTGAGACAGCAGGGGCATGTTCTATACACCAAAACTGCTTCATTAAGCTAAAAATTGTTTTGGTGACTATAGTGTCCATTTAACCAATCTGGTAAATTTCAACGTGTAAAAACTGAAAAGGAGAAAAGCCCTATATTTGACCCAGTAACTTTCCAAAACCTGATGAAACCTGTATGTGGGGTGTACTGTTATATTTGTGTGTTTTATTGCAGTAAAAGCTAACAGTATTATGACAATAACAGTTAAACTGCCACACAGAACTAAGAAAATAACTATAAAATTTACTTTTTAGATTTTATTCTTATTAAATTGTGTAACATATATATATTTCATGTGAAATGAAATCCCAATTTCTTATGAGCAAAATGATATATAATAAGTGTGGGTGCACTTAATATGAAAGAGGTAGATGATGGTTGAACAGACATATCACTCAAATTCCAGGTGTTATTTTGATCCGAACTTGTACAATTGGCTCCGTCCTCAAGAGGTTAACCTACACCAGTGACAGCTAACCTTGACATGTTTTTGATTTAAATTTCCCAGGATGCTCTGCCAGCATTTACACATACTAACTGCAAATATAATGATCTATGTACTTTTTAAATCTAATCTGTCAGTAAACGAGTGTAAAATTACACATGTTGCAAGATCTTCAATCCCAAGGTTAGAATTAATTTACTTGCCACTACCAGCAAGTTCCTGAAATGCCACACAACATTTCTATCTCGGGTAGCGGTTTTTGGAGCGGGCACCCGGCTACCTCTCCCCTGCGAGTTGTCCCTGCAATTTCCGGTCAATAACATTTTGTGCAAAGTTCAGAGGCGAAGGACAAAAGCAACCAAACAGAGTTAGACTGTGCCCTTTGCCTTATGTCTGTTTCCTCACAGCCTACTTGTTGCCGGTAAACTCACAGGACAAGGGCCCTCAGCTTTTCAGTTCCAGTAGGCATTTAAACACATATTACATTCCATGCAATATTTCCTTATTTACCCATTTCTTTTGTACTGTACTGCAGATATTGTCAGTGCTATTAAAACAATAAACCAACATTAAATAATTGTCATAAAATCAGCCAAAAAAAGTGAACTTTCACACATTCTAGCATAGCAAATATGTTGTTTATATCATGATTTGGCAATGTAGTTTGTTTGTATTTTTTCCCCAGATTTTGCCATCCTAAATATATGGTTGTTTTAATACATAGCTATTTAAAATCATGGGCTGGATTTCCTGGTAGTGGTATTACAATTGTTATTAGCTTCCTATCCTGTAACGTTATTGATGAGTCAGGCGATATATTGATAAAAGGATAGGATAAGCAAATGAAGCTAATTATCATTCCAACAGTCTGATGTTGAGTCAGATAAAACTATCACAAAGAAGGGCAATAACTTACAAAAATTAAAACCAAAGAGGGAATTTTACATTACATTATATTATTATAATACTACGAAAAATGTGCGAATGAAAACCAGATTTGCGAATGTTATTATCTCGTTCCATTTAGCTAGACGCTGTACTGCAGGATAATTTGCAATGTGTATTTCGTTTTAAACAATGTAATCATTAAGAAACTCATTAAATAGTAACCTATGTTGGACAAACAGACAGATCTCATATTGGACCATTAGGCAACATCTAATCTTTCAATCAGGACAGCTGGTTAATGTTTAATAAAAGGGATTTAAAAAGAAAACACACAGTTTGCAGGATAAACCTGAAGATGTTGTGGTTTCTATTCTGTGGGCTGTGTCTGCTAAATGGCGCTGTGGGAGAAAAACGTGAGTGACGTTCTAATGCTAGAATAAGGTAGTTAAGGAATTCTTAATTAACAGGATTATATCTGTGTCTCGTTTTATAAAGAATGCATCGAGAAAAATAAAAATTCCTTTAGGTTTATTCACTGTAAATGGTGCCGAATTGAGAACCGAACTGCGAAATTGAAGCGCAAGAAAATTTAAGGAAATAGCTGAGGTTGAGTTGTTTTTTTTAATTTTGCTGTATTTGCTAGAGTTAAATCCGGAACAAGAAATCTAATTTCAGGGAGAAAACTTGCTTGGTTATCTCAGAACTAGAATCTGAAGATTTACCATATTTTCTTGGACCCATGTCCTTATAGCGATTAGTGGGCAGCTCATGAAATCAGTCACTATGAGCAGTTAACAGGAGTCAGTAATTATTGAGGAATACAGTTCTGGAATGCTGCTGTGCCGTACATGAAAAATGCTAAGAACCATTTGCAAACTGCAGTAGGGATTTCAAGTAAAGGGACACTATAGGAACCACATCTACTGCAGGTCATAGTAATGGTTATGGAGCAATAAAGGTTATTCAATGAAGTAAAAATTCAAAGTGAATTCAAATAGAATTTCAAATTTAGGGCCAGAAAAGCCAAATAAAAGTATAGCTGGCTTAGTGGATTTTTCCAGCTGGCAAAGCATCCGGGCGCCAGACGGCCAATGGCAGCACGCGCTCCGCCTTTGTGCCACACCAGTTCTCCTCTCAATCAGCCCTCCCTGACCTCCCTCCCCCTCCATCGCAGGAACCAGGTTTTAGCCTTTCATTTATTTGTTATCATTCTATGGAGGTGGACCAGGCTACGAGGGGTTACTCCTACCAAAACCAGTGCTTTCTTAACATACTGATCTTTGGTTGGGGTAACCATTAAGTACCACTCTGGTCTTAAATTTGTAATTCACTTTGAATTCTCACTTTCGTCAATAAGCCTGTAGCACTAACTAGATTAATAAATAATCATATGAACTAAAGTTAGCTCAAAAGTTCACAGATGAGGTTTTGAGAGCTAAATGAATTTCAACCATCATTGGAATATATATCAGGGATATAGGAAATGCTAAAAATAAATCATAATGCATTAAAATGTAATTATTAATGAATGTTGTCATACAATGATCTGTTCTGAGCTTCTGGGCAGAGGATTAAGATGCCCATGGCACAAAAGAGGTAATGTTGGCAATATTCCAATGGTATGGTGAGTCATTGTCGCCTGCTTTGTCTACTGTGATTGTCCCAACACCTTTACGAACAATGGTGCCACCAAACTGAATTAAACAATTATTTGTGGTCGGGATCAAAAGCCCAAGGCATTCAATAAGGGTTGAATTATACCAGTCGTAGCAAGTTGGCTGAGGTGTGCCGAACAGGGTAGACCTGAAAAACAAGGCCCACCTATTGAATGAGTATAAAAAGGGAGAGGTGGCTGGTTCCAAACTTGGGCAGACGTCAGGAGGGAGCTGGGAGGATGGAGTATATATAGTTTCTGCCTTAATATATGCTAAATATAAAATGCTCTAACCTCTGCAGAACATCTATGTTTAGGGCAATGCCATCACCCCTTGATGCTCCTGGCACACTTGTGGCATGCTCAGGTATCTGCAGAGAACGCATGAGTGCTCTGGCAGTTCCTCCATAACACTCCTGGCATGTACCGCAGCATGGGGGTTATTTAATTGACATGGTCAGGCATAAAATATCAATTAAAATATAAATACATTTGTAACTTTCCTTTTTCTATCACAACTATTATGCTTCATTTTAACTAGCTTAAATGAACTCATGGCAGTTTCTCATTAGTTCATGGATTTCCTTCTGTGGCACATGTATGCAACATACTAAGGGCATCACTTTTCTCGTACTGCCCATCAGCATTAAGAAGAAGTGATATTGTGTGCAGGAAGTATAGCGGATCTGACAGCCCTATCTATATACATACTGACTCTAGAGATGATATTGGCAACAGCAGATGTGCCTTTTCCGGGATTATCTGAATGCTCTTTAATATCTGGCACATTGCGGGTAGCACTCATGGAATCTGGGATTATTAAAATTGGCACATGTTGCTGTCACCATGAAAGGGCAGCAAATGAAACCGTACAGCAGATTTATCTGGGGCCTACATATTTCAACATGCAAATAAATAGCAGAAATTGTTACTGCAGGACAGGGGGGTCTGCTTTGGACAAAGTGTCATGGAAACCATAGTTACATCTTTTTGGCCATGATTCTTCGTACATGATACATTTATTTATACCTGCCAAATGTTCCTATTTAGGAGAGGCAGCCATGTATTTAGGGCCAGATAGGTGTACTTACTAAAAAAAGTGAGAAGTAGCGAGTTGACATCTGAGTGGCAAAACAAAAACAAAAATGTTGGCAATTGTGGAAAAACAGACTCCCAGATTTTATTTATATTAAAATCATAATAAATCCCCACATGTATGTGTGCGTTCTTTACAGCACTCTGGGAGGTGAATAGATTTTGTATACTGTTCAGGTACTGAATGTAGTTACTCTATTATCTCAGTTTGTTCCAGGCCGCGAGAAGTGCCATTCGCCACCTATAAACCTCTGAAAATATTGTATGAATTCCGAGACGCGGTCACGTACTCATGTTCACAAGGTTACGTTAAAGAATCTGGCACAGTCAGGGCTGTTTGTTTAATGGCGGGGAATTGGGACCACGCAACAATAAAATGCGCACGTAAGTAAACCTTCTGTTTCTAAATACGCAGTGAATTGGGATTATGCGATAATAAAACATGCATGTAAACATTTATTTTCCAAATAAGTGACCGATTTTAACGTTTGCTTTTCTGCACATTTATATCAAATGCTGCGGGTTCTTGAATGTTTAGTAGTGCTGAAGAAGATTATCACTTTCAATTTATTTCTATGCAGCTATACGTTGTCCGCCGCCCAGTTTTTTAAAAAATGGCGCTGTACGTTACAAGGATTTCACTTATGGAAGCCAAACTCAGTTCTCATGCAACAAAGGGTGAGTCGGTTCACAAAATGGTTCCACTGTCTGTTTTTGACAGACAGACAAAATCAACTCGATAGTTTGTCTATTTCCTACCTAAAAATGCTGACTTTATTCACAAAGGTTTATTCAATAATCACTAATTTCTGCATTAATAATAATAATTGTATCCAAATTTGGGGCAGTCATTGGCTGAGCTTCTGAAATGTTTGCCAACTAAGATGGTTTTAACGTATTTATTTTGGCTTTTACACTGAAATTCCTGATGATATCCCAGTTCAATAAACATTACAATGATCGTGCAATCAAGGCTCACAAACACAGATTATGTTTTATTTTTCCACTACTGAAAAAAAAGTGTCAAAAGCACCGGACCTGGATTAAGATTGTCCAAACTCCTTGGCAGGAAGCCAGCTCTTCTCTGTATGTGGCAGTGGCTGAGTGTTCTATGTGGTGGCTGAGTGTTGTGTCTGTGGTTGAGTGATGTGTGTGAGTGTATAGAGGCTCAGTTTTGTGGAGGCTGAGAGCTGTATATAGGGTGGGGTGGCGACTGACTGTGTGCACTGGTTGCGACATCAGTGGGAGGGAGGTAAAGGGGGCAGACCAATGATGCAATTCTGTCACTAACTTTGCCCCAAAGAGATGGAACCTCTCAGAAAGGGGCGGATTCTCCTGAGTTAATGGCAGGTCAGCCTGGTATGAATACACGCCAGGCTGCTGTCTGTCATTCTGGCTGGCCCACTGAGGGTGGACCCTGCACAGAGCACTGTCTCATTGTTCCCTGCAGACGCCTAGTGCCCTAAACATAGCACGAGGGTGTCCATACCATAATGCACTCGTACTATGATTGTTGGGACAGTTCCCTGGTGTCCCCAAAAGTGGAATACCAGGGAACTAAAGTGGGACGGAGTAAAAGACCCAAATATAGGGACTGTCCCGCTAAAATTGTGACAGTTGGGAGGGATCTGTGTATGGTGGCTAAGTTTTGCATGTGGAGTAGAGCCTGGGTTTGTCCTGGAGCGTATTGTACTGGATGTTACAGTGTGTGCATAGATAGTTGTATTTTAGCAGAGTGTGTTTGTATGAGTATATTTGTTTCTGAATGTCGGTGTTTTCAAAGTGTCTGGTTGTTCAGTCTGTCCCTGGCCCCCTCACACAGCTGGAGCTCCATGCTCAGATAGAGGTTCACCAAGCTCTTGTCCAGCCCCCCGGGGGCCTAGGCGGCTGCCTACGCCGCCTTATGGATAATCTGGCTCTGAAAAAATAGCAGATTTGGAAGATTTTACTAAATCAGCTTTAGTCAAAGCTGGTCTGTTTTTGGCTGAATTAAGCAATTTGTTTTTGAAATAATTACAATTAACTGTTTCGTAGATAACTTTGACAAATGATTTGCCAATTAAGCATATAAACCCCACTGAACTTTCAGGTTAATTCTCAGATTATTGCGCTGGGACTCCCAGTATTCTTTGTTTTACTGGATGTTAATTAGAGACATTCTGAAATTCGAGCAAGATAACAGCCCTCGAGGGGCAAGTCTGAAACAACTAATGCACCCTAAGGGCATCTGCTAATTATTGAAAATTAACAAACAGGAGGTGAATACAAATTGCATTGGGAGAGGGTTATTGTAGTCTCTAAGCAATTATCTACACCAGCTTGCAGGAACAGTAAGTATGTGTTGCACAATCCATCATGTTTGTTTACTGTTAGACAGTGCAGGAATGTTGCTGCCCTGCAGTTTGTAGAATTCATGGAAGCTAGCTTGTATAACTAATTGTTTTCTGCCCTGCTACACAATACAGGGCATCACTTTTCATTTACTGACCATCAGTATGGATAATCGATATGTGAGCAGGGAAATGTCCTGCATTTGGCAGCCAGGCATCCAGTTTAGGAGCTAATTGAGATGCAGCTTTAGGATAGCGCCAATAGAATAGGCCAACTGTTAAAAAATGATTGGGGGAAAAAAGTGTGTTATTACCACATGCTGGTAATGGAGAATGGGTACATAGGGGATATGTAGGGGAACACAAATTTTGTGTAATGGCTAGTTATAAATTATAGGGACACTATAGTCACCCAGACCATTTCATTGAGCTGAAGTGGTCTGGGTGCCAGGTCCCCCAGATTTTAACCCTTCAGATTTAAACATAGCTGTTTCAGAGAAACTGCTATGTTTACATTGCAGGGTTAATCCAGCCTCTAGTGGCTGTCTTCCTGACAGCCGCTAGAGGCGCATGGTCCATGGGAAAGCATTGAGAAATGCTTTCCTATGGACTGTTTGAATGTGCGCGTGGCTCTTGCCGTGCATGCGCATTCCGCTCCACTCAGGAGCTGATGTCGGCAGGGGAGGAGAGGTCATCAGCGCTGAGCAAGCCCGGCACTGGATTAAGGTAAGTGGCTGAAGGGGTTTTAACCCCTTCAGCACCAAGGGAGGGGGGCCCTGAGGGTGGTGGTGGGGGGTTCCTAAGGAGTATATTGTGTCAGGAAAACAAGTTTGTTTTCCTGACACTATAGTGATCTTTTAATGAACTTAAAAAGCTGACTGTGCACCCTCGCAGCTTCCACCTCAACATCCTCCTGTCACCATGTGGCATGTCTCCTGTCTGCTACACTCACTGCATCCACCTCTTTCTCCACTTCAACCTATATATTACCAGGAGCATCTGCCTGCTAGTAAGAAGGGAAGGAGAGGGGTGGTCCCCTGGAGGGTGACCTGATTTCCTGCTGGTCCCATGGGCATGATTTCAGCGAGACAGTCACGATTTTCGCTATTGCGAACACCAGGGCACTGTCCCCATCAATCAAAGCGCGAGCACCTCATTAGATGCACTCACGCTATGCTCAGTGCACTATTTCAGTGCTCCCTGCACTGTCTGCCCTCAGTGGGCTGGTTAAAATGATTGGGAGATTGCCCAGAAGTATCTTAATCCATGACCGTCTTTCCTTTCACTGATTGCCTGCACTGGGACAAACACAAGCTGATGAATGAGCAAGCACTGAGGGAAGTGTAAATTTGCAATCTTTTAAAATTCCCTCAAAAAAGTTAAAATAAACCCTGTTTCATTAATAATTAAACAGACAATTTACATGTAAAATGTTCTACAGATTAAAGGACCACTATAGTGCCAGGAAAACATACTCGTTTTCCTGGCACTATAGTGTCCTGAGGGTGCCCCACCCTCAGGGCCCCCCTCCCGCCGGGCTGGATGGAGAGGAAGGGGTTAAACTTACCTCTCTCTCCAGCGCCGGGCGGGGACTCTCCTCCCTCTTCTCCTCCTCTTCGGCTGAATGCTTTCCTATGGACGCTGGCGTCTTCTCACTGTGATTTTCACAGTGAGAAACGCGGAAGCGCCTCTAGCGGCTGTCAATGAGACAGCCACTAGATGCTGGATTAACCCTATTATAAACATAGCAGTTTCTCTGAAACTGCTATGTTTATAGAAAAAAGGGTAAACCCTAGATGGACCAGGCACCCAGACCACTTCATTAAGCTGAAGTGGTCTGGGTGCCTATAGTGGTCCTTTAAAGAGGTGATTACTGTTTTATAGAATGACAGTGGTAGGAAATTTACACTTTAGAGCTGTATCCAGTGAAATAAATAAAAGAGATAAAAAGTCTCCCTATAACCCAAAAGAGGGGTGCTGCAGGTAGGCTTGTCAGACTTACTCACTTGTCCTTGACAAGTTTTGGATTGACTGTGTACATCATGTGGGTTTCTAAATAGTGGTCCAGAGTGAAGCAGAATGCAGATCTATTGCCCCTATTCTGCAGTTATGAAGTTGGGTATCATTGCAAATCAGGGTCCCTTGCTCCATTATAACAGTTTCCTACTACCATCAACCTTAGCCAGTAATAGCTATTCACAATAAGCTACGATATACAAATAGGCTACGTCTGATATATGAGCTTTTAAAGATGTCAACTCCCATCATGCTCTCACTCTGTGAATGTGCCCCAAAAACAGTCTCCTAGCAGTCTGGAGCATTGCCTACCTGAAGCTCTAACCAAAGCATTCTATGGTTTTATCACTCAGGGCACATTCTCTGCAACGTCAAAATATTCAGTGACCATTAGCATATTGGGACTTGTAATCAATTTTATGAAAAGCAGTAACATTTGCGTGTACTTGCTGAGGTTCCCCTGTGTGCTTTCTTTGCCCTGCTGGCAAATATCCCACTTCTCACACCAACAAGAATTACTCCATTTGGAGTTGGTTTACTTCTGCAATGGAAAATTAGAAATTGTTTACATTTTTTTTATTTTGCTCCAAAAGATCTTTATATGCCTAGGGCAACAATTTGCTTCTGATGAGACCATCAAGCATGTCTTTAATTTAAGAGAGATATGATTTTTTTTTCTGGGAATCTCTTTGGTAAAACTGATTGAGTTTGTGGCCAAGTTTCCGAATGTTGGCTAAGGAGGGGGAAACAGATGTTGGATGTCATGAAGTCATGCAGCCTAAGTAATGCAGTGTGCCTTTAAGACACAGAGCAATGTTTTGATTGAGCTAGTGAAAATATAAATCTACAAACACAACGTCCTGCCAAAATCTTGTTTTTGATAGTTTTTAAAAAAAAAATCATCTAGAGCTTCATACAACATAGATAAATAATACAGGGATAGAAATGTTAGCATTTTATGTTGCAGACCTCTGTTACACTTTTCAGTTACAGTTAAAGATTACTACAGCTAGTGGAATGGATACATAGATTGGTCTCCAAACAGAGGTGGTAATTATATGCCTGGGATAGACACACAGCCGCTGTGAGTCAGGACATCAAATAAAGAATGATTCGGGCTGAATCTATTAGTTTTCATCTACATTTAAATTCTTATATTTCACTGATAAGTAAAATCCATTTGAATTGGAAACATTCTCTAACAGATGAAGTATCGGGAAGTCCTAGGAGAAAACATCCATGCTGTCTGTGAGGAAGCTGATGCTTGGGTGTCATTGGACCTTCCAACAAGACAATGATCCCAAACATGCATCAAATGCCACCAAGGCTTAGTTGCAGAAGAAGAAGTCCTGGAAAGGTCTACAGTGGCCGTCACAGTCACCTGACTTGAACCCCATAGAAAATTTCTGGTGGAATTTGAAGAAGGCGGCTGCAGCACGCAAACCCAAGAATATCACTGAACTCATGGGCAATGGGCTAAGATTCCTCAGGAACGCTGCCAGAAGCCTGTGTCTGGCTATGCATTTAGTTTGCAGCAGGTCAGAACTGCAAAAGGGTGCTCTACTAAGTACTAAAGATACTTGCCATGAAGGGGTTGAATAATTTTAAGATGGGAGAAATCATTATAAGTTGCATTTTTTAAGTTGAATTTGGGGAAACCACCTGAAGCATTCATTGTGTTGATCTATTTCAATTGCTTCTGTTTGATTTATTTATTGCAAACAGCTGAAAGTCTGTAAATTTTGGGGGTTGAATAATTTTGATTACAACTGTATACGGCAACTGCTATAATTCTATTCACAGCCCGGTTCACAGTTTAGTGAATGGAGCTGTGTTTTATTATCAGGGAGAGGAAAGAGAGCTTTCCTATTGTGTGTGCGTCGTTATAAGCCACTCTCAGGAATGGGGGGGCTCAAGGTGTTCTAAGCACCATTGACTTCGCAATGATGCAAAGTGCTTATGGTGGTTTGCGACCCACTGGCGTACATACCGCGGTCGCAGGGGTCGCGGCTGCGACCGGGCCCGGCCCACCAGGGGGCCCGGCTGCCCTGCGACCCGATATGTACGCCAGTGTGTCCAGCCTCTTCTCCTGGGAGGCCTAGGAGCTGGCCACCTCAGTCCCCCCCGAAGCTGGCCCTGGTGTCACCGGACGGGCTGGCTGGCGGGCGTGCGAGGGAGCACTCTCCCCTAAGCGCTCTCTGCCCAGCAACCTCGCGCGCACCGCCCTGATGCCAGAGTCGGAATATCACGTCATTCCGTCTCCGGCATCAGTACGTGGCGCGCGAGGGAGCTGGGCAGAGAGCACTCAGGGGAGAGTGCTCCCTCGCACGGCCGGCAGCCAGCCAGCCCGGTGACCGGCCGCCCAGCAGCACCACTGGACCCCAGGGAATCCCCTCAGCTTTCCCAAAGGTAAGATTACATTTTAAAGAAACATGTGTGTTAGTGTTCGAGTGTGTTAGGGTTAGAGTATATGTGTGTTAGTGTTAGATTGTGTGTGTTAGTGTTAGACTGTGTGTGTTAGTGTTAGAGTGTGTGTGTTAGCGTTAGACTGTGTGTGTGTGTGTGTTAGTGTTATATTGTGTGTGTTAGTGTTAGACTGTGTGTGTGTGTTAGTGTTTGTGTGTCAGTGAGTGTGTTAGTTTTTGTGTGTGTTAGTTTGTGTGTGTCTGTTATTGAGTGTTAGTTTGTATGTGTCAGTGTGTGTCTGTTAGTGAGTCTGTTTGGTGTCTGTTAGTGAGTGTGTGTTTGTCAGTGAGAGTGTATGTTTTGTAAGTGAGTGTGTATGTGTGTCTGTCTGTCAGTGAGTGTGTATCCATGTCTGTAACTGAGTATGTCTCTGTCAGTAAATGTGTGTGTCTTTTAGCTAGTGTGTATGAGTCTGTTCGTGAGAGTGTGTGCACGTGTGTTTAAAACCCCTTCAGCACTTACCTTTCTCCACCTTTCTCCAGCGCTACGATCTGCCTCTCAGTTCCGCATGTGCGGCAAGAGCCACGCGCGCATTCCAACTGCCCATAGGAAAGCATTACTCAATGCTTTCCTATGGACATCCAGCGTCTTCTCACTGTGATTTTCACTATGAGAATCACGGAAGCGCCTCTAGCGGCTGTCAGTGAGACAGCCACTAGAGGCTGGATTAACCCTCACTGAAACTGCTATGTTTTTAGCTGCAGGGTTAAAACTAGAGGGACCTGGCACCCAGACCATTTCATTGAGCTGAAGTGATCTGGGTGCCAGTAGCGGTCCTTTAAGTGTATGTGTATCTGCATGCATTGGCGTACATAGCGCAGTCGCAGGGGTCACAGCCCTGCGACCAGGTGCCCGCCGCCATGTGTTGTGGTCCCGGCACGCGCAGAGTAAGTGAACGGGGGGGGGGGCCACGGATCAATTTTCGCACATGGGCCCCATGGGTCGTGTGTACGCCACTGTTGCGACCTTTTATGAATGTTTGGGGTTTGAGCATGCTAGGAGTAGCTTTACATTAAGAGACAGTGTTGGCACAGTCTGCTCAAGCTTACAGTCCAAGGAAATAGGATAATCTCTATATAAACTAATGTTACATGAGTTCTAACAACGTACATTTACCAGCACATCCCCCTGTTTTTTCGATCACAGCAGCTTATCAATAGATTCCATGTTTTATGGGTGAGTTCCAACTGCAAATGTCAGAAAAAGCCTTGGGAATAAAGTTCTGTTTTGAGACACGGAATCCCTGGAATGGCGTTTGGCAAAGGGACAAACTTATTAGAGGAAAAGTCTATAAAAAAAATCATGCCAACTCTCTCTCAAGTTATTTCAGAATCTGCTTCTGAAAAAAACAAGCACGATTTTAGAGGCATGCAAAGTATTTATATAATTATCCCATTTTTTTGTATTATTTTTAAATTGTGGGAATTACTAAGTTTTTATGTTACAATAATTATTTTTATTTATTTTTTTAACAGTGACAACAAAGAATTCATCATTTCAGCGGAGCATTATGTCTGCCTGCGCAGCAAATTTTTTCATCATCTTGACTGCAATCTCTTCTTTTATTTTATTTCAGATACGATTTACACGGAGCTAATGAGAGCCTCTGTACGGAGACAGGAGTGTGGAGCCCTAAGCTACCAATCTGCCAACGTACGCCTGCAGCACAGTAGCTTAATGAAGTGGTTTTGGTGTATAGAACATGCCCCCGCAGTCTCTCTGCTCATTTCTTATTATTAGTAAAATTATTTTGTTTATCCATCGCTAGGCACATGTCCCCTGGCTGCAACTGTGTCTGCCCCTTCTTATAAACTGGAGCATTTTTCTATTGTCATCAGGAATACAGCTGTAGATAACATTGTAACACATAAAGCAAACAAGGAGGACAGAGGAAGAGCCAAATTACAATCAACATAAGAAAATCATAGAAAATTATTTAAAAAATCCAACCGGATAGAGTCTACAATTTTCAGTTTCCAATATTCTTGCTCTTAGTATAGTTGGGCTGCACTTCGTAAGCACATACAATAAAAACAGAAAACCAAAAACAATCTGGAGATTTTTACCACAGGAAGACATACAAATAGGATACAATCAATGAATGCCCACTTACATTTAAAAGAGCCTTAACCCCTTAAGGACACATGACATGTGTGACATGTCATGATTCCCTTTTATTCCAGAAGTTTGGTCCTTAAGGGGTTAAATCAGCTCTGATTATAGTAACATGCAATAAAATGAGTCCAGTGATGAATATGAATCGTTGATAGGTGATAGTCAGATAGTGGTCTACAGTGAACAGGTGATGTGTTTCTCAGAAAAGGGAATTAAAAGCAAATATTGTAAAACCATAAATATATGTGAAAAGTGAAGTGAATAATATATTATTCACTCACAATGGGAGAGCTTTCAACGTAAGCTCAATGTATCAGGCAGATGGTGGTATAATCGGAGCAGCGTAATCTGCTTGAGGTTTGCAGCCTTGGTGGTATGATCCCCACCGAGGATTTGGACGTCCACTTCCAATAATGTGTCCAACTTAAAATAACTTAAAATAAATGCAGAAAATAATTAAAGTATCCCCAAAAATTTATATGGCCACACACAAGGAAAGTATAGGCAGAGAAAACTTTATTGGATGACTTAAAACCAAATAAATAATATAGAGTAATATAAACAACGCGTTTTACCTTGGGTTATCAAGTGTATTTACAGAATAAACTAGCTCAAACATAGACCATTTTATAAATCGATTTGTATGCACAATACACTTACATATAATGAAACAGAGAAGGCATAAAGAAAAAACAAGATATTAATGATACAATAAATAGTTTGGGTGACTGCATGACATGCTGGTCATGTGATCGGCTATAAGTAGATTTTATTGGCCGTAAAGTATAAGCAAACAAAAGTATAAAGGTGGGAACTGAATTGCAACTCCCAGAAAGTACCGCTCTTCCCATAATGCCCAGGATGAAACAGTTCATGGCATAACCTCAGTTCCCACGGAAAGTTATGTGAACACCAGGACAGGAATACAGGAATTTCAAATATGATTATATTTTTACTTTTTGTTAAATGTTTGTTCTAATTATTTTTTGCTCATTTTGATTGCATTATCTATAAACTGCATTACAAAAACACCTGAATTAACATCTGGCCAGAGTATAGATCTCTTGTAATGAATGCTAGCTCTGTAAGTCAATTTCTTGGTCTGTGTGCTGCGTCCCAGCCAAGCTATGTGCAGACGGCCATTTTATTTCTATTTATTCTATTCTTCCAGCCTTTCTGAGTAAATTGAATTAATGGGCTCCTTGTGCTCCCTATAGAGCTATGGCCATATTAAAGAAATGCTCCTATCAAGTCATACAGCAAGTCAAGAAATAAATCAATCCCATGAGCACCATGTGGCTGGCTTTCTTCCCAGACAGGCTACGATCCTGGAGTGTTTCAATTTTTTAACCAATTCATTCCAAGATTCTGAAAAAAAATCCCAGATAAAGGAATTATGCAAATAAATGTGTTGATCACTAGTATATAATTCTGAGGCCAAGACAGTACCCTTCCTGGCCAGTCAATATTCTCCTCAGTAGCCCTGCTGACTACCTTCACACATACCTCTTAATATTTCAAATGGACAGAGAGGGACACTCTAATTTTAGGGTTGTCTGGGAGTGTGGCCAAGGGCAGGGCTGTCCGAGAAATTGTATGCAACATACTAACAATTTATACAACTAAAATGTAATTTGGAACAAGAACAATGTATCTTATTTACAGACTGATTTCTAAACACATTTATTGCAGTTTAAAGATAAATTACTGGGAGTATTATTGCTGTGGAGCTCTGTTATACACTCAGACACAGAGTCTCAGTTATTATTAGGGTGCAGGGGTTCTTACAAGCTGACGTGTGTACCCAGATGTCAGAGTGTTGCATGGACAAGAAATATCACTTTAAAGGGAAAGGAACGCTCTAATAGCTGTATAAAAAAGTATGTTTTTCTTTCAATAATGTTTAGACATGCGCAATTCGTTTCGGTCCGAATTTTAATTCGGATGAATTTCAGCAATTCGGACATTTGGATGCTTCCGAATGTCCAAAGTGCCGAACCGAATTGACAAAGTGCCGAATTGATAAAGTCCAAATTGCCGAAGTGCCGAATTTCGGAAGTCCCAAACCAAATTGCCGAATTTCAAAAGTGCCGAAGTGCTTTGGATTTCTGAAAAGTGGCAAAACAGGAGAGGGAGGGAAAATTAAGGAAAAGATGACAGGAATCTAACCCTGGTAGGATTAGGGGTAGGGTTAGGTTAGGGGTAGGGTTAGTGTTAATGTTGGGGTTGTGGGTAGGATTAGGGTATTGCCGAAGTCCTGAAGTGCCGAATTCCCGAATTTCGTAAGTCCTGAACTGAAGTGCCGAATTCCTGAAGTCCAGAATTTCGGAAGTGCCGAACCAAACCACAATTTTTGGTTTATTTAAAGGGACACTATAGGCAGGAGAACCACTAAGGCGTAATGTAGTAGTACTGTATGTCCCTGCAGACCTGGCAGTGTAAATCCTGCTTTTTCTGAGAATGCCACCTCTAACGGCTGTCACTTCGACAGCTATAAGATGGACTGCAGGACCGACGCAGAACGCTCCCCGTAGATATGCTATGACTGAATAGATCTCTATGAGGAGATGCTGATTGGCGCAGCATAACAATTTGCCGCGCATGCACACTGGCCTCCCAATGCTTCCCTTAAGGGCCTTATTGAATTGGCTGAAATCATCAGGATTGATGATCTCAGCTTTGTAGGCAGGGTGGCTGCATGGGAGATTTTAATCCACATGAGGTTGCAATTATTTATATAATTACTAAGAAACATGTTTGTATTCCTAACACTATAGTGTTCCTTTAATTTGAGTAAATTAATTCTGTTGTTTTAACAGTAATTAGCTGAGAATTTGTTTGAATATTAATTGGTTAGTGGAATTTAGATTATTTAAAGAACCTGTCTATCTTTTCTTCCAGCTATTACCTGCCCCCCACCCGATATTCCAAAATTTGGAAAGCTAGTCCTATTTACGCCAAGAGCTGGGAACGAGTCCCATTACCTGGATGATATCACTTACGGCTGCCTCCCAAAATATGCTTTATTTGGAAATGAAAGTGCCTTCTGCACAGAGAATAGGACATGGAGCCATATTCCTGAATGTCGAAGTAAGTACCGCCCATGCAGAACTGTAACAACCACCATCCATCACACATTGCTTCCTCTGCTCTCTGACACTATTGAACTAGCTCTAGCTTGTAAACACATTCCCAAGCAATCCTCCCCATGGCAACAGCATGCCGGCTTCAGTGCCACTACTTCAGTGTCATAACAATGTCTGTTACTTTGTGTCTAGGCTTCTCAAGTATGCGCTGTCATTGCTGTGGTAGAGAGAGCTCTCCTGCTGTCCCCTGTCACTCAGCTGTTAGATCATTTATCCAGACAAATGAATTCTGTTTTCCTGGTACTATAGGCTCTTGGAGTGACCCCCTCCCTCGGCGCTCAAGGGGTTAAAACCCCTGCAGCAACTTACCTTAATCCAAACCCTGCCCATAGGAAAGCATTACTCAATGCTTTCCTATGGGGATCTTATTTGACGCTGGACTCCATGAGGACGTCCAGCGTCATTTCAGAGCAATTTACTCACTGAGAATTGCGGAAGGGGCCTTTAGTGGCTGTCAGGGAGAAAACTAGGGGGACCTGGCACCCAGACCACTTCATTGAGCTGAAGTGGTCTGGATGCCTATAGTTGTCCTTTGATTTTTAGATTGGGACCCAAAATATTAATGTTAAATTATTTTAAACTTAATGAATGGGTCACTGAGATAACTTTCCAATGAAGCGTTGTGTGTATGAACATTATAAAATTATAAAATCTATGGAGTGTTCCTAAAGGAACCCCGTAGTGTGTATTCCTGACACGATAGGTGTAAATGCGCAGTTTAGGTCACCGGCCACCTTTGCCCCCTTTTTAAATAGGTGATTTACTCACCTTTTTTCAGCGCTGTGCGGGTCTCCTCGTGGATTTAAACCATTTAAACCATTTATCGGTGTACATACAGACATTAAAGCACTTCTTTGTGTATTGGTTGAATGCCTTTAAGCCTTTCTCTATGCATAAACACATTTCACATCATTCCTTTGCGCATGTACACATATTAAAGCATTACCATAGGCTCATCAGGTCATATCATTTTGTCACGTCACTCATGATTTACAAACTGTCCTTCTGATCACCCAACAGAGTAGCTTGGAGGAAAGACGAGGCAGGGAGGACATGATAGAAACATTTAAATACATAAAGGGAATCAACACAGTAAAGGAGGAGACTATATTTAAAAGAAGAAAAACTACCACAACAAGAGGGCATAGTCTTAATTTAGAGGTTTGAAAATAATATTGTGAAGTATTACTTTACTGAGAGGGTAGTGGATGCATGGAATAGCCTTCCATCTGAAGTGGTAGAGGTTAACACAGTGAGGGAGTTTAAGCATGCGCGGGATAGGCATAAGGCCAGGGCCGGCGCTTCCTATAAGGCGAACTAGGCAGCCGCCTAGGGCGCCATATAGGAGGGGGCGCCCTGCGCCCCCATCGCCCGCCCTTTAAATTCTGCAGCCGCCTGAGCGCTCTATAGAGAGCGCTCAGGCTGCCGCAGTGCCTCACCTCCCCTGCCCTGAAGCGTGGCCGAGCTCCTTTCCGGTCCGCGACCCGGCGGGACTGACAGGAAGTGCACACTGAGTGTGCACTTCCTGTCAGTCCCGCCGGGTCGCGGACCGAAAAGGAGCTCGGCCACGCTACAGGGCAGGAGAGGTGAGGTGAGGAGAAGCTGATGGGAGGGAGAGGGGGGAGATGATTTGATGGGAGGGAGGGGAGAGATGATTGAGGGAGGAATGATTTGATGGGGAAAGATGATGGAGGGGGGGAGATGATTGATGGGGGAGATGATTTGATAGAGGAGAGATTGATAGGAGGGGAGATGATTGATGGGAGGGGAGATAATTGAGGGAGAGATTTGATGGGGGAGATGATTTGATGGGAGGGAGGAGATGATTTGATGGAGGGAGGGAGATGATTTGATGGGAGGGGGAGGAGATGATTTGATGGGGAGGGAGGAGATGATTTGATGGAGGGAGGATGATTTGATGGGAGGGATGTTTGATGGGAGGAGGGAGATGATTTGATGGGATGGGGATGATTTGATGGGAGGGAGGAGATGATTGATGGGAGGGATGATTTGATGGGAGGGAGGGAGATGATTTGATGGGGATGATGGGAGGGGAGGGAGATGATTTGATGGAGGGAGATGATTTGATGGGGGGGAGATGATTTGATGGGAGAGAAGGAGGGGGGAGATGATTAGGGGGGGAGAAGAAGAGAAGATTACGGGGGAGAAGAAGCGATTACAGGGAGGGAAGGGGGGAGAAGATTACAGGGAGGGGGGAGAAGAAGAGAAGATTACAGGGGGGAGAAGAAGAGGAGAACACAGGGAGGCGGGGGAATAAGAGGAAAACACGGGGGGAGAAGAAGAGGAGAACACGAGGGGTGGGAGATGAGAACGTAGGGGAGGGAGAGACCACTAAAGGAGGGAGGGGGCGGTGGAGAGACCACTAGGGGAGGGGTGTGAGGAGAGACCGCTAAGGGAGGGGGGTGGAGGATAGACCACTAGGGGAGGGTGGGGGGAGAGGAGAGACCACTAATGGAAAGTCGGGGAGAAAAGGAGACCACTAAGGGAGGTGGGGGGGAGAGGAGAGACCACTAAGGGGCAGGGGAGATCTCTAAGGAATGGAAGGGAGAGCTCTATAGGACAGGGGGACAGGGAGCTCTTTCACACCACGCGCACACACACACACACACAATGCATCCCTATACACACAGAAACACAACATGCTTCCCTTACACACAGAGAAACACACAATGCAACCCTTACACATAAAGATAATGCATCCTTTGCACATACACAGAAACACACAATGCATCCCTTACACACACATGCAAACACACACTGCTTCTCTTACACACACACACAGAAACACAATGCATCTCTTACACACACTCAACGCACCCCTTACAGACACACACACTGCATCCCTTACATACACAGAAACACACTTTGCATCCCTTATGCATACAAACACAGATTCACACAATGCATCCCTTACACACAACAAGAAACACACAATACATCCCTTATACACACACACACACTGCTTCCACTACACACAAACACACTGCATCACCTACACAAACTGGTATCCCTATACACTACATTCCATAAGCACACACATTAGATCCTCTACAGTAACACATAACACATCCCCTACACACTCTACTCCCTGTGAGTTCATGGGTGGAACATGTAGGTGGACTTATGGGTGGGCTTTATGGGCATACTCACCGTCAGGCCCTGGGGCCCAGACCTTGAGCTATGTAAGAGGCCCCCAAAAATGGAGCTGCTTCCCGTTCTCCCAGAACATTGAATTTTGTGACCACAGTTACAAACAGCCTCCAGAGATCCTGTTCTACACCAGACCAGTGGAGCCAGACTGCAGCCAGAGCCCATCACCATCCTCATCTGATTGTAAGTAGGCAATCTAGTATATTATTAGTGACACTAATCTCTAATTTACCTCACATTAAATGGACACTATAGTCCCCAGAACCACTGCAGCTTAATAAAGTTGTTCTGGTGTCTATAGTTTGTCCCTGCAGGCTTTTTAATGTAAACACACACTGTGTGCAGCACTGGCATTAGTTCTTATGGGTGGGGCATTGCGATGTTCCGGGGGGGGAGGGGGGGAGGGCGGCGGCAAATCCTTCTTTTGCCTAGGGCGGCAAAAATCCTTGCACCGGCCCTGCATAAGGCTATCCTAATTATAAGATAGGGCCAGGGACTAATGAAAGGATTTAGAAAATTGGGGTCGAATGGTTATCTGCCATCACATTCTATGTTTCTATGTCTCTGTCACACAGCGTCAGGAGGACTGGGGCATAGTGCAACATAAGTGCATGTTTAAAAACACTTACACTTCAACAAATTGCACTTTAAACAAATGACAAGGCATTTAATAACAATTCAAACCATACAGGAGCAGCATTTCAGAAGTTCAGAAATTTATGGAAAACCCTAAATGGTTACTTTGCAGTGGAGCCTGTCATGCGAGCGCAATACTTGCCAAGATGACCCGATTACAAGCAAGCATGCCAGTAGTGACACAAATTGCATCATGGGTCCCAGCTGACTTCTCCTCTACCTACCTCACTCTCACTCTAGACCACATACTCTAGACCACATTCAGCCGATGACGTCGCTAGGAAGGAGGAGAGGGGGAAGAAAGCTCCCCGCCCGGCCCTGGAGAAAGGTAAGATTTTAACCCCTTCCTCTCTCCAGAGCCTGGCGGGAAGGGGACCCTGAGGGTGGGGGCAACGAGTATGTTTTCCTGTCACTATAGTGGTCCTTTAAGGGAAAGCTTAATGTAGTTATCCTGGTGTCTACAGCCTGTCTCTACAGGCTTTTTAATATAAATGCTGCCTTTTTAGAGAAAAGGCAATGTTTACATTGCCACAAGGAGACCCGTACAGCGCTGGAAAAAGGTGAGTAAATCACCTATTTAAAAAGGGGGCAAAGGTGGCCGGTGACCTAAACTGCGCATTTACACCTATTGTGTCAGGAATACACACTACAGGGTTCCTTTAAGAACACTCCATAGATTTTATAATAAATATTGGTGTATATATAAATATTATAATGTTTATCCTACGAAATGCCAAAGGTATCTAAAATTTTTATTTACAATTTTAATTAATCCAATATTCCATCCTTAAACAGATGTTAAATGCAAACGCCCCAGCGAAATAGAGAATGGTTTCATGACATATTCACCGCCGAGGCTATATGATTATGAGGAGGTTGTGACTTACGGTTGTAAGCCAAATTACGTATTGGATGGCCCGAAAAACTCTATGTGTGAGAAAAATGGGGAATGGAGCTTAAAGCCAACCTGCAGAGGTACAGTACGGGTAAATGGTGCTTCCAAATGTGAAATGAGTGTTGTGGTCACTTTAAATATTGTGAAGTCACTGGGTCAATTCTCAAAGTCATTCTGTGAACCATATATCTAAAAAGTCTGCAAGACCAAAGCATTTCAATTGGGATGACCAACTGTAGATCCGATGATACTTTTCCAGCGTTAAGTTTTTTTTTTTTTGTGGGTGACGAAAGCACAAGTAGCTGGTCTTGCCTATGGCGCAACATAGTCTTGCATCGGTCATGGGTACTGTGTCCCTGAACCTCTTAGTCATGCGATGCAAAACATTGCAGTTTCTGAGAAACTGCAAAGCTTACATTGCAGTGCTAAGACAGCCTCTACCAGACAGCTACTAGAGGTGCTCTGCATGAGCACATTCAGTATTAGAAAAGACCCCATAGGAAGGCATTGAGGCAAAGCTTTCCTATGGAGAAGGCCTAATGCGCGTGAGGCGCTTGCCGCGCATGTGCTTTAAAACCCCCCTGTCAAATGACTTTGGAGGAGGCGAACAATGAACCAGCCCGATGTCATTCGGGTTATTGGGTAAGTGCATAAAGAGTTATTTAACCCTTTGTGTGCCAGGGGGAGGGTGAGAGGGAGGGAGGTGAGACCAGAGGGCACTGTAGTATTAGGAATACACCTTTGTAATCCTAACACTATAGTTTTCCTTTAAATACAGGAGATAGGTAACCATTCTAATAATCCTGGTAATGACAGCTTCCCTGTAAATACATATTTTATTTGGGCCTGGGGATCTATCTACACGTGTTATGCTTTGTATAATGTATGGTGAGAGGCTTTCTGTGGGATCTTTTTGGGACTAGTTTATCCATATAATAGCTGGTCTTTTCCTCCCTCCAGAGAAATCTCTCAGTCGAGTTTCCAGATTATGTCTATTGCTCATCTGAGTTTGCTGATGATCAATATAAATAGTGCATCTGGGGCAGACTTCTAAATGTGTTGCAGTTACCATGAAACCGATGAAAAATCCTAATGACTGCTCCAGTTTAAACAGTTTGCTCCATTCCCCATCCCGTCTGAATCCGTTCTGATAATGCAGAAATTACACTTCCATATTATCTGTGCTAATCGTCTAACCTTGGATGCCGCAATAAACAGTGAGGAGTATTGGTTATAGTTAAGCTTCTAACACAGTGGCCAATAATTAGCAAAAATTACTTGGAGAGAATTTGGGATAAAGTTCTAAAAGGGAAGCAATCAGTAGAAACATTCCATTGGTTTCCATAGAAACTGCTCCAATTCTGGCCAGCTGCCGCTGAATTGTTCCACTTTTTGCCTTTATAAATATGTCTCCTTGTGTGAGTCTGTTTAATTGTAAGATTGTTTTGTAGCACCATGTCGCGTCACAACCAAAAAAGCATCCGTGCTCCTCAACGGAAGGAAAACGCATGTGGAGAACATTGCTAACCAGTTAATTCAGCATGGAGATGTCATTACATATTTCTGCAAGGATGAGAAGGACAAATGTTCTCACGCGGTGGATTCTCGCTGTCAGGACGGGCAGTTCTCCGTACCCAGCTGTTATAAAGGTAAATATCACATATACGGCGAATGCAGCATGTACTGACCAGCCACAACACAAAATAGGGAACAAATTTAAATAATAAATGATATGGGGGAAGAAAAAGAAGTAATATTGAAAGATTGATAGATCTTGCTTATTTTATCTGCACTGTACATCCAAATAGGGAATAAAATGCTTTCACTGTACCCCTAATTTGTGCAGTCAGGTTGTCCATAAATCGTGTGTCTTTGATTTTATGGATTACCATGTCTATGGAGGGGATATCAGGTTTTTGCCACACTTGTGCAATGGTTTGCCTGGCCACCAGGGTAATTTCTTTGAGCAGTTTTTGTTCCTTTATTAAACCAGAACAATGAGTAAGTGCTAAATAACACAGATTAGCAGCAACCCTATAAGGGAATCCCTCAAAGACCCTTAAATAAAACACAGAAAGGTAAAAAATACAGGAAAGGGCTGCGCTTGGATAAAACTTTAAATAATACGAAAAGTCCAGATAAAATCAATGGATAAAAGGAGAAAGTCTTATCTGGCAATGTCCGTTGAAATCGTATTATGTGATGGTACTTGGTCCAAAGAAATAGTCTTACTTGTTATCTTCCTTGTAGGTCGTCTCATATGTAAGAGAATAAAAACAAATACAGAGCCAAAATAGTGTAGTATATCTTGAATAATAAAGGAAGTTGAAATGTAAAACTTGATTGCAAACTCACATTTAAAAGAGCTAAAACCCGCTCTGGTATAAAGGGAGTACAGCGCTTTAGATCCCCGCTTGTAGGATATGGAAATGACTCTCCTTTGGGTACTTCCTCCTTCCGTAGTATGAAAGACACTCGAGTAAAAAGAGACAGCCAATAGTGTTCTCTGAATAAAAACTTAATTTAAAATATATATAATAGAAGTGGATACTCACAAGACAGGAGCAGATCAACTGCTCCTGGTAATTAGCGTTGGTGGTATAATCCCCACCTAGGATTGCTTGAAGTCCAACGAATAAAAAGGAATGGTGCCAGGTAACAATAATATATATATGTGTATAAAAAGATAAATGGTACGATAAAAGGTTACCAAATATGGTTTAATATTTAAAGTTGCGCCCCACTTAGTCACTATGATCACGGACTACGGGGAGGTCTCAGGATTCAAATTGAACATGAATAAATGTGAAGTACTTAACATTACCACTCCAACGGCTCAAACATCCGCACTGAAGAACCAATTTCCGTTTAGATGGTGCGCAAACCACATGCGGTATCTAGGTATCGCAATAACCAGAGACCTAGGCGACATGTATCGTACGAACTTCCTACCACTACTACAACGAATCCAACAAGATTTGAAAACGTGGACATATCCACACATCTCGTGGTTAGGCCGGATCGCAATACTTAAGATGAATATTCTACCACGGCTGTTATATTTATACCAGACGATTCCGCAAGCTCTACCGACGGCATATTTCGCGTCACTGCCTTCCGCGATGGTGAAGTTCGTCTGGAATGGGAAACAGGCAAGACTCCGACAGGAAGTCCTCTGCCTACCTCGAGCATGGGGGGGATTGGCACTCCCTGACCTCCGCAAATACCACCACGTGGAAGTACTACAACGCGTCCTGGAATGGCATACTCAACCGGAACATAAACAATGGATCGAATTGGACAAACAACATATAGGCCCCTCCTTTCTGACATCAGTGTGGAATACGAAGAAGATGCCGCGGACGAGTTTGGAACCATCCTCTACCGTAGCGCAGACACTGAAAGCATGGGACTATATCAGAAAGGCTCCTCACGTCTCTCCAGCACCGAGCCCGATGACCCAGATACAATACAACCCCCAGATAGGGGGAGGGCTTCCACGGACAGCATGGTCCTTCCTGGGAGAGGGGGAATCATACCCCATACATAAGGTATTAACTAACGCAGATATGATCCCCCTGAGGGACCTAATAGAAGGCGACCAACCCACTAGCCTACAGACCTTCCGTTATATACAACTCAGAACATATTACCGGACACTTCCAGACAAGGAAAAGTTACACAGGGACTTGACATGGTTCGAAACGCTCTGCGATCACAAGACTACTCTAGGTAAAGCGATATCCCTGCTATACCAACACATACTCGTGGGGCACCTCACTAACAACGACCAATTCCGCAGACGCTGGGAACGCATGCTAAATACATCTTTCACCACGTCCCAATGGGAAAAGATCCTCATATTACAACATAAATGCTCATCGAGCTCCCAATATCAAGAAACCAACTATAAACTTCTCTCATTCTGGTACAGAACGCCCGACAGTCTACAACAGGATCTTCCCGAATGTGCCTGACATATGCTGGAGATGCGGAGATGAACGTGGCTCGCCACTACACATATGGTGGGAATGCTCACTCATTAAGCCATTCTGGGTCGAAGTCCTACAGAAAATAAGGGATATCACAGGGACGGAAGGAAACCTCAACGCAGAGGCAGTCCTCCTACACTCAACACCGGATCCCATAGGCACATACAGGAAAAACATCCGTAGACACCTAATCAACGCAACCAAGGCACTAATTCCATTATACTGGAAACAAACGAATACCCCGACGATAAGACAATGGATGGAACGGGTGGAAGAAATATATAGAGCGGAATCAATACAGGCTACACTTCGAGGACTAGAGGACAAGCATGTGGAGAGGTGGCGCCCGTGGCTACTCTACATAGCGGACCGACACACAGATAGGAACGGCCATTCCCAGCCTCAAGGAGCCCCAGGACCCCCCACAGACGGGGACTGATGCCTGGTCCGATACATACTACGCCGTGGTCACGGATGACGGGACCACCTTTCCCTCCATACCCCCCTCCCCCCCCTCCCCCCCCGCCCAACCACCCCCCACCCAGCTCTCCCCTCCTCATCCCCCCTCTCTCTCTTACTTCTTACTCAATTAACACTCATCTTCTCACTAAAACTCTCCAACATTGGCTTCATTATAAATTACATGATAAACGTAGCCCACCTTAATCCGAGATTGCCCACAATTGTGTCATTCACTCACGCTTGCACGTCAAAATGGACACAAACACCTTCTTCACGCGACTACACAACACGAATAAGACACGTCCCTGAACGACATCTGACCTATGACGACGGACCAGTAGACCTTACTACCCCAAAGAGAATGAGACTCAAGGGTGATAAGGAAATACTAGAGGATCACATAAAACAGACGCAAGGCACAAACTTATGAATATCCCTCTACTCAAGCTGCAATCCGATCACTCATATGTATGTCTTAACGTGTTAAACGCGACCAAATGCCATATAGAAATAATATGTAACATTGTTTGAGTGCTGTTTACACACTTAATGTTGGGACCTGCGAGTCCGTTATATGTTATTTACTTGTTCAATCTATTGATACCTGCTAATGTACAGGGATCAGGGTATACCCTGAAATGCTTATGTTTGAATAAGGCCTTTTTGAACTAATATTTAAAGTTGCCTCTAGTTGCCTGGACAGTAGAAATTCCCACGGGTCTCATATTACCGGCCTCTGGAAGATTTTATCCAGCAAGTCGCCCACTTCACCCAAGAAAGACTGTGCCTTAGGGCCCTACCACCACATATGTGCATAGGACCCTCTCTGTCCGCATCACCTCCAACATCTATCGTCTGGGGTTTTGTGCATGTGGTATAACTTCACTGGCGTGGTATACCATCTAAGCATGTTCCTATACGACTTCTCGTGTTGGGCGACGCAGACTGAAGTAGATTTGTTTGCTTCCCATATTTCCCTCCACTCCGTGCCCTCTAGTACCTCTCCAAGCTCAGCTTCCCATTGGATTGTATAGTGCAGCTCTCCCCAGTCTGTGTTATTGTAGCTCAGGTGGGCATAAACTGATGTAATGAGCCCCTTCGGAGGTAGGTCAGCTCCCATCATGTTAGATCCGGTCACATCGCTAAATTTACAAATTGGATTTTCAATTTACTGCAAGCCACTATTTAGCAGATAAATCTATTGATCCTGCACTGATATTACATTTTCATGCTAACTTAGGCCTCAGCTTAATACACTTTTCAGATGATTCAATACTGTTAGAAACTTTCCAAATGATTTAGCTACAGAAATTCCCACATACTTTAATTTCTGTAGCTAAATTATTGGAAAGTTTTTTTCTAAAAGTTTTGACTCATTTGGAAATCAAGGCCTTATAGGGATACTGTAGTCACCAGAACAATTACAGCAATGTAAATGCTGCCTTTTCAGCGAAAAGGCCCTGTCTACATTGGGGCCAAGTAAGACCTCAAGGGGCAGTCACTCAGACGGCCACTAGAAGGGCTTCCTGTGTCAGTGCTACACAAAGTGTGCAGCACTGGCGTTCAGTGTCTCCACTCACTGCATGGAGATGCTGAACGTTCCCCATAGAGATTTACTGATTCAATGCATCTCTATGAGAAGAAGCTGTTTGGTGCAGTGCGGTGTTTTACCACAAATGCGCAATAGCCTCGGATTGGCAAAAATCATCAAGTTTAGAGAGCGGGATGAGGCGTGGCCAGCCGCAGCAAGACTGGAGTGGCTCTGTGGAAAGGGTGAGTACAATCACTTTTTTAAAGTGAAGAGAGGGGACCAGCGATCAAACTAGTTATTTTACCACTATTGTGTCAGGAATACATGTTTGTGTTTCTCGCACTATAAATGTTCCTATAATCCGTGAAATTATAAATCTAAATAACTATTTACATATGACCTGGTCTAAACAACCAATAAACAGCATAGGATATAATTGTATATTTAATCACAGTTTAAGTAGCGGAACTAGCAGAGGGGAAGAGGGTGTCAACTTTAATACAGGTCATTCCCTTGAGTGTATATATATATATATATATATATTCTCCTAGGTAACCAATAAGGTAATTATTGTGAAAAAATAGATAAAATAAGTGAGAGACAAACTGAATTATGAATGGACAGATAATGGAGCTAGCCTTCCCTGTAGGCCAAATATTTACGGTAACATTATAGATGCGGACATTGCAATGCTTGTGCCATGAATAATACATCTCACCGATAATTGGCTGCTGAGTATCTGACTTGTATTTATGACAAGCGATAAATAATAGAAATTATTAAGCCGTGGCTCTTAGCACTAACAGGTTTGCTTTTAAATTAAATAAGAACTTTTTTTTCTGTTACAGATCCAGGATTTTTCTCTATTTTTTCCAAATCTCCATCAAAACTACCTCTCTGTACCCCGCAGAATTCCACACAATCTACCCCTCTCAGCTGAAGGGGGACTGTCACTTTCCTGGAAATGATATCATTGAATAAAACATTGCATTTCTTCAATAACGTGTGTTAATCTTTTTCATATGGTGCATTTCAATTGACTATTAAAGTTATAGCAACTGCATAATTTCCGAACATTTCAAATGGACAGAAAAGGACTTTATTGTAGTCAGGGCCGGCCTTAGGCCATTAGGTGCCCTGTGCAAAAAAGTCTTCACGGCGCCCCCCACATCCCCCTCCACCAAGTTGCCTGTATACAGTCACACACACAGGCACAGGCAGACAGTCACACAAACAGTTACAGAAAGTCAGACACACTCAGTTACAAGCAGACAGACAGACACACACACACGCAGTTACAGGCAGACATTCACACATGCTCAGTTAAAGGAGCACTATAGTGCCAGGAAAACAAACTCGTTTTGCTGGCACTATAGGGTCATTAGGCCCCCCCAGCTTCGGGGCCCCCCTCCCGCTTGGCTGAAGGGGTTAAAACCCCTTCAGCCACTTACCTTTCTCCAGCGCCGGGCTCCCTCTGTGCTGGGGAGGTCTCCACCCCCTGCCGACGTCAGATCCGAGTGCGCATGCACGGCAAGAGCCACACGTGCATTCAAACCGCCCATAGGAAAGCATTACTCAGTGCTTTCCTATGGACGTCAGCGTCTTCTCACTGTGATTTTCACAGTGAGAATCACAGAAACGCCTCTAGCGGCTGTCAGTGAGACAGCCACTAGAGGCTGGATTAACCCATAGGTAAACATAGCAGTCTGAAACTGCTATGTTTTCAGCTGCAGCGTTAAACCTAGAGGGACCTGGCACCCAGACTACTTCATTGAGCTGAAGTGGTCTGGGTGCCTATAGTGGTCCTTTCAAGGCAGACAGTCACAGAGGCAAACACACAGTTAAAGGCAGACAGTCATGCACAGTTACAGGCACACAATCACAAACAGTCACACACACAGTTACAGGCAGACAGTCACACATACTCCATTACAAGCAGACAGTCATACACACTCCGTTACAGGCAGGCAGACACTCACGCACGCTGTTAGGCACACTCACACTCAGTTAAAGGCAGATAGTCACACATACAGGCACAAACAAAGGCACAGCTACAGCGACACAATTGGAGTCGCAGACAATCACATACAGGCAGACTGTCACACATACATATGCAGAACGTCACACACACACACACAGACAGACAGTCACACACACATACACACACAGGCAGTCTGTCACACACACACACACACAGGCAGGTAGTCACACAGGCAAGCAGTCACAGTCACACACACCTACCTCTTTCCATTATGACTGGAAGGGAGAGTGGATGCAGTTGGTTGTTGGGGAAGCAGGGACTCTTTCCTTCTTCCCTCTTCCTGTGCAGCAGTTACCAGGGGCTTCGGGTAGGTGTTAGCCCCGCCTCTGCCTCATGATAAGCTCCACCCTGCTGCTTGGTAAGCCCTGCCCCACTGCCTCGATATTTCTTTTCCATAGACCTGGGTGGAGAATAATGAAATCCTCCACCTGGGTACCTGTTTTAGCTCCCCCTGCTCTCCTGTCACCCAGCCATGTGAGAGCTGTGTCGGCCGCATGGTGCCCCCTGGTCCATGGCGCCCTGTGCAGCCGCACAGCTCGCACACCCCTAAGGCCGTCCCTGATTGTAGTGTAAAAACATGTTACTGTGAATATTATTGTTGTGGAGCTCTGTTATACACTCAGACACACCAACAATATGGAGCTCCTAGAAAAGAGGGACAGAGGGATTTGGATTCAAAATAGGGACTGTCCGTCCTAAATAAAGGCATGTGGGAGGTATGCAATTGACATCCCATGGAATCCTCCACAGAAAGATTGTTTGTTCCCTTAGCCATAACTCTACCTTTTGTCCAGCTTTGTCAAGTGTAGGAAATATACATTGTGGCGAAAATAACCTCGCCACTGGGTTTTGGAGGGGCCTGTTTGCCAGCCTTTTGCCCCAGGATTATGGCCCATGCGTTAAAACTTTGTTTCTCCCTGTAAAAAGGCTTGTTAAAAAGGTGACTTCCATGGAAAATTTGCCTTTTCCCCTCCCCTTTCAACTTTCCTATTGTTCTCCAGCAGGGCGTTGTCCCAGGGACACTGCCAGACCAGTTTAAACTGGCTGCTTTGTCCCTCCTCAATCTCTCATCAGCTCTTGCTAAATTTTAACCCCATGGCGATTTTATTCTGTTTGTGGGATCTGAATGTGGGGGTTCTGTTCAGTATAATAGGAATTAGGTATTTTTATGTATTTTTATTGTTGTTGTAAATGGAGATATTCCCTGTACTTCGCGATAATTAAGTTACCGCACCCACTTAAGCCAATTATCTCCAGGATAGAGGAGAAGATAGACTGGCTGTACAGCCTAAATCTGTGGAACTGCTTTGGGCATGAAAGCCATGCCTGCAGTCGGTCAAATAGGAGTTCCATCTATCTTTTGAACCACTGGGCCAATTTGTATGATTTTTACATATGTTTTTACACTGATTATGCTGGTTCAGAATATATGACTTTTGTGGAAATTGTATGTATAGTTTGGAAGTTATGAATATTGTATAAAACTGTATATTTTCCTGTCTGTGATAATGAAGTTAGCCCATTGTGTTCAGTAAATATTTCACAGGCAGAGGGGAGGGTTTGTGTGTAGTATTTGGATGTGTTTAAATGTACAAGTCTGTCCTGATTGGTTTTTACAACATTATGTCCTGTATTCCACAAGGTCCACGTGGGTGGTAACTTTGTGGGAAAACTTGTATATAAGTGCCAATAAACCCTCAGACTGCTGAGTTCCTGTTTTACCCTCAACATAGAGCCCCATGGCGATTTTATTCTGTTTGTGGGATCTGAGCGCTGTTCGGATATATTGAGGGCTCAGATCCAAGCTATCTGGGGATAGGTTGAATGTGGGGGTTCTGTTCAGTATAATAGGAATTAGGTATTTTTATGTATTTTTATTGTTGTTGTAAATGGAGATATTCCCTGTACTTCGCGATAATTAAGTTACCACACCCACTTAAGCCAATTATCTCCAGGATAGAGGAGAAGATAGACTGGCTGTACAGCCTAAATCTGTGGAACTGCTTTGGGCATGAAAGCCATGCCTGCAGTCGGTCAAATAAGAGTTCCATCTATCTTTTGAACCACTGGGCCAATTTGTATGATTTTTACATATATTTTTACACTGATTATGCTGGTTCAGAATATATGACTTTTGTGGAAATTGTATGTATAGTTTGGAAGTTATGAATATTGTATAAAACTGTATATTTTCCTGTCTGTGATAATTAAGTTAGCCCATTGTGTTCAGTAATTATATCACAGGCAGAGGGGAGGGTTTGTGTGTAGTATTTGGATGTGTTTAAATGTACAAGTCTGTCCTGATTGGTTTTTACAACATTATGTCCTGTATTCCACAAGGTCCACGTGGGTGGTAACCTTGTGGGAAAACGTGTATATAAGTGCCAATAAACCCTCAGACTGCTGAGTTCCTGTTTTACCCTCAACATAGACCCTCGTCTCATGTGTGGGGGAAAAGGCTGCATCTACACTGGGATTGCTATATGCTGTATACTCCCCTGGCTATAATCACTAAGCTCTTTTAAGAACTTGTTCCTGCTTCGCTCTCTGAAGGAAGAGGGGTTCGGTCTGCAGTGCTTATGGTGTTGAGTGGAGTGCTTGGAGCCCTCAGGAAGCACTAGGAGCATCCATCAACGGAGGTACCCAGTCGGGGTGCCAGGTGATCCGTTACATACATAAGACAATGTAGTCCCTAATTTGTCTTACGATATCTTTTGACTATATTGAAATCTCAGTGAGATTCCAACACAGATTTTATCACTATGAAATTCTCATTTTGTTTCGGGGGATGGGGGCACAGAAGCTTTAAATAGTCAGTTTTAGGTTGAGCATGTGGCTTATTAGTTTGCTGTTGGGTAGTTTCAACAAGTAATATTTTACAGTAGAGTAAACCAACGCAACGCAGGGATTTATTTTAGAGGTCAGAATCCAACACACGAAAGACTTGCTCGTATGAGAACAACAGCTGCACCAGAAAACAGAATTTCCTGCCAAATGCTGTGTAAAACAGATAGGAAATGAAATTACATTTCACTTAAATGCAAATCTGATTACAGGAAATGTTGATGAGATATCCATTTCAAGCAAGCCCCATTCCATCAGGAATTGTGTGACATAATGTACAACAAAAAAAAAAAAACCAGCAACAAGAATGCTTGAAGGTTGTTTTTACGGATGTAAAATAATCGTCTAGTATCAACAAGTAACAATACTACCACAAATTATAGCAACTATTCCATGTTGAAAAATATGGAAAACCTGGAGAAAGAACTAGTGCCCCCTAGTGGTGGATGGGTGGAAACATTTCCTGGGCTACTGAAAACACAGGCAATAAATCACTTTTCCTTAATGTTAATATTGAACTGATATCTAATGGGAAACCTTTTATCTGATAATGGCAGAGTGCTTAGAAATATGCACCGTTCCAGATCATTAGGTAGCCTTTAAATTTGAGAGAGCCAGAGGAATGAGACGTGGAGGTTGCTATATACAATTTTCACACACATATTATTAGAATTAATATTTATATTGCACTAAAGTGATACTTTGCACTTTAGAACTTACAGTAACTGTGCAATAAGTGCAGCAGATTTGCAAACATTAATATTATAGGTATGGTTGGTATCTGCAGATTCTGTTGGCACTAGGAGGTGGCTGAAAATTGACAGACAATCCTGGGCTGGTCACTCCATGGCTCTCAATTGCAGAGTTGCGTATGTGGTCAAACTTCCACAGAAGTTTAATTTGTAAATCAGCACAAATGTAACTACTTGGGTTTCCATTAAACAGTACAACATTTTGTATGTTCAGTTTAAGTCATAGACTGGGAGGGTGGGCTTACAGCTTCAGCCCCTTTCCACAAAGCTCAGCAGTTCTAAGCTACATACTGATTGAGATCAGGGACCGGGAGACTGTGGCATCATGTTCCTTTGATTTCATTTCACCTTTGATGCATCTATTTAATTGCAAAAAAACAACTTCAAACTGACTGCCATCCTTAGAGGGAAATGATTGAGATTAGTTGTGTGTGGGATAAATCCAGCTGTCACAGGACCACTAGAACATTCACGAGATGCAAAGATTTTCCGAGGAAGAATGAGAACATAGGAATAGTCGAAACATGCCTTCTCATGGGTGCCCAAAAGGGTACAATGCCTTTAGAATGACATTGCATCATGGAAGCTGTAGTTTTAAAATATCTAGGGATCTACCTTTTGGGCTCTCCTGTTTTTTTATATATATATTTTAAATTCTTTATTTTTGCTGTGCCAGAAATAACAAAACATGTTTATGATGCCACGACTGCAATAACAAGCAAGGTAGTATTGTACAAAGTTGCATGGCAAACAGAGTAAGTTAGCACACTTTTTTTTTGGTTAGTAAAACAGTTAGGTCTAACGTGCCTATGCAAATTACTGTATATAGATAGTCGGCAGATAGTGTATCTAAGACACAGATATTCTCAAGGTTAAAGATAGAGACATGCATATATCAACACGAATTTGGGAAACAGGGAAATTTCCCAGGGAGGCCCCTGGCTAGTTGCATGTGGTAAAAAGTGTGCCTGGGGTGATACCAGAGATTAGGAAAAAGATGCTGGAGTGTAGTGTCACAGGAGTTCAAGGGTGTATGAGAGTTGTGTCACAGAAGGGCAACAGCTCGTCTTTATGCGGCCCTGGCACCTGTATCAGCCTATGCCGGATAGTGGTATCGCATTGTCCTGCGGCTTTAAGAGGAACGGTGGTCCTCTGAGTCTCTGTGTGCGCCCACAGGTTGTTCCTTGTGACCAGATTGGGGTTATTTCTGGCACCGCAGTTCGTTGATGGGTCTCCGTGATGGGCCGCGGCGCAACAATCTTGGTAGCTTTCCTGTGCCGGATCGTTGAGCTCTTCGCGGTTCGCCGCCATGTTGGGGGCCTGCGTGCTGCTGGAGCCCCAGGCTGCTGCTTGGTATGTATTTGCCGTGGTGTAGAGCAGCTACCTGGTTGTTTTAAGGGGGGGTGTTGCATCCTGCTCTCCACTCTCTGCCAGAAATCTTCAAAGATTTTATCCAGTCTGGACAGGACATCTTGCCTTTTCCCCGTGTTGCTGGGGATACTCGTGGCAGCCGCCATCTTTGGTAAGTCATAGGGTTGTGTGTGAGCTGGCGTGGCTTCACCCCATGGATCTGTGCCAACAGGGCAGCCTCCCAGGGGTGGACCGGGATCACCCCCACTGGTCCGGGGGGGGGGAAAAGGGGCATCTGTTTTCCAGTAAGTGCCGTCGTGTAGCCTCAGAGCGGGAGATCGGTCAGTTCTCCCGCCCAGTGCAACCTAGGCCACATGTTCGGAGACGTGCCACAGATGGTCTCACATCACATCTTTGGGCCCTGCAGTGTTTCTCAGCTGGAGCAAGTAGTAGGTGAGGCCCTGGATTCGACCCAAATCAAGCTGGGTTAGGCAAAAGTTTGCTTATTAGTCAGTATAGGAGAGGAGCTCCCTCAATACACGTCTCTCCTCCATGCCTGTCAGGCCCCGTCCCCCTCTCCTGTTTATATAAAGTCATGATCTGAGAATTTGAACAGAGAGAAAAAATAGAACCACTAATCTCATGGTCACCTCTGTCCGTATCATCTTGGAGACTCAGAGTCCTGGATGGGGCGACAATTGAATTGGAAGTCAATGCCATATCTGGGTCTAATGTTGCTCACTTGTCCTTTACTGGCAATGGTTAATATCAGAGCTACATGTAATGAAAGGGTTACAGGTATCTGGAATAACACGGAATGAAGGCAAAGACAGATTCTGCTTACAGTAAACAAATAATTTAGTTTGCAATTACACGCAAAGAAGGTCAGACCGCACACATTAGTCTTCCAGCCTTCCTGGCCAGGATACATCAAGCTGATTTGGGTGGAAATGATAAATTGAAATAATTATTCCTGGAAAGTCCAGTGGCTGTTCCTGATGGATGTATATTTACATGTTAAAATCTAATAAAGGCAGATTTTCACAGACTGAAAAACATTGTTGCTACAACCCTGTGTGGTTTACACAAAAAACAGGAGTTTGCTAGAGAAATGGACAATTATAGCTACCAGGGGGGCACATAATCTATAAAATAAAAATGTTTCCTGAAAAGCCATTTTATCCTGAATTTTCCCAATTCCAACTAATGTTCACCTACACTTGAGAGTCTAATGAATTTACCCTTGTGTAGGGGTAGGCAACGTTCAGCACTCCAGCTGTAGTGGACTACATCTCCCTGGATGCTTTGCCAGCATCAGGGCCTGCGCAACCGTTAGGCGAACTAGACATTCATCTAGGGCGCTGGCCTGCTGGGGGCGCCCACCACAGTGAGTGTCTGTGTGTGTCTATCAGTGAGTGAGTTATGTCGGTCAGTGAATGTCTGTCTGTGTGTGTCTGTTCATGAGTGAATGTATTTCAGTTACTGTGTCTGTGTGTGTGTCTGTCAGTGAGTGTGTGAGTGTTTGACTGTCAGTGTGTGTGTGTCTGTCAGTGAGTGAGTGTATGTCTGTTAGTGAGTTTCTGTGTGTGTGTCAGTGAGTGTATGTGTGTCAGTGAGTGAGTGTATGCAGTGGTGTATCCTGGTTTTGTGCTGCCCTAGGCAGGTCAAAATGCAGGCGCCCCTCTCCCTCCCACTCTTCCCCCCGCCCCGCCTTCTAAATACACACACACACATTCACTGACAGATACGCATACACTAGAAACACCCTCACACTCACTAACAGACACACACACACTCACTAACAGACACACACTAACAGACACACACTCACTCGCAGACACACACACACACTCACAGGCAAACACACTCACACACAGTCAGACACACACACTAACAGACACACACAGTCAGACACACACACACACACACTAACAAACACACACACTAACAGACACAAACACTAACACACACACTAACACACACACTAACACACACACACACTAACAGACACACACACACAGGTGTGTGACATCATATTCCATATGACATCATATTCCGGCTCCCAGCCTCACTCTGCGGCGTGCGAGGTAGCTGAACAGACAGCTCAGAGGAAGTGCTCCCTCGCCAGCCGCCCGCCAGTGCAGCCCACCCAGCAGCCAGCCCATCAGCCCGCCCAGCATGTCAGTTAGCCACAAGGCTAACAAGACATTTGCCCTGGGCATTTGGGGGCGGCTTTTTTTGCCGCCCCCTGGAAAATGCCGCCCAAGGCAAATGCCTTGTTTGCCTCGCGGCTAAAACGTCCCTGAGTGTATGTTTGTCAGTGAGTACATGTCTGTGTGTCTGTGAGTAAGTGTGTGTGTCTGCCAGTGTGTGTCCCTCATGTGAGTGAGTGACGTGAGGGGACGGCAAAATGGATCTTTGCCTAGGGCGGCAGAAATCCTTGCACCGGCCCTGGCCAGCATTACAACTGTAAGAGCATTGTTGGAGGTGTAGTCCACAATGTCTGGACTGCTGAAGGTTGCCTACCCTTGTCCTAGTGTGTTGGACATTGCAAACTGTGGAAATGTCCAAGGTAGATGAAAACCTGTGGGAGGCGCTGGCTGTATTTTGGCCTTTTTTTTTTTTTTTATAAATAAATGAATGATTATGGTGACATCCACCTGTATACTGACCAATTACTGTCAGACTTTTTCACTAAACGCGAATTTCTACAAGTTAAAAGGAAACTTAAAGCACCAATACTACTTTAATGTATTTGATAATATTGGCACATTAAAATAACACTATATTGGTGTAGTCAATATTTAGATGACCTTCTCCATTCTTTGTGAACCTAAAAAGTGTTTAACTTTCCTTTTCTCCATTGCCATAGCTTGCCCCGCCTCCATTGCTGAGATCATCAGTCTTGATCAATCTAGCCAATCCGATGCTTCCCCATAGGAGGCTACTGGGCATGCGTAGCAAAGGCTTACGGTGCAGCATTCTGCAAAACATTTTTTTTTTTGTGCGAAAGCTATAAAATTTGAGCATGCAAAAAAAAAACAACATCATATTAATGAGGCCAAAATCTATCAAACGCATTAACATAGTATTGGTGTCCCTTTAATTACGAACTGCAAAACAGAGGCAAAAATAGCCAAGCTGTGAATCTAGTTAATTTTGAGATTATTTTTTTTTGCCAGATTACCTATCTTTAAATCAGTTTTTCCATTTGGAATGAATTCACAAAAAGTCAGAGTTCAGTGTTGAACCCTGTGTGTGTGCGATTTGGCAGAGAAAGCACAAAAGTGTTAATTAACTAAACCCTGATATGGAAACAAAATCTCAAACCGTGCTATAGTCATAGGATGGAAATGTAATTCAGTTTCTAATTCACTACAAGATAGTGTTTGATGAATAATCCCCAATTAATCATATTCAGGGCTATTCAGTAAAGTCAGAATTCATTGTGAATTTTAAGTTTAAGATCAAAATACCCGAAATGGAAAAATGTTCTAAGTCAGCTACAGTGTCAGTTTAGCTACGATGGCCTTTGAAATTCACACGTTAGTAAATAGGCCTGATACATTGTGAATGCCTGCCATGATATAATTGAGAGAGAGAAACCCAGCTAATGCTACAGTGAAAAGTGCTCACAGAGCGCCCTCTACTGTGTACTCTGTAAAATGTCATCTACTGATTTAGACCAATATTTGTAGAGTGCCTCTCCAGTGAAGTTATTCCCTTGTCAAGTCTCTACAATTACCAGCTTAGTGAATATTTCTGAAATTAAATACCACAACCTTTCATGGGGCATTTTGCAAACAATTATCAATGTCTGAATTTTCACATACAGACTCCGCAATCAGACTGAACGTTCAGATTTCAGCTTGTCTGCGTGTGTCCGAACAGCCGAAATTATAAACTGAATTATGGAAATACAAAATAGAACACTTGAATACATTGAAGTGGTTTGGAAATTTCTACTATTTAAATACAAGTTATTACAAAAAGCTGTCCTAATTTTAATAACCAACTCCTTCGGAGAAAGGGTTAACTGCACAAGGGGGTGCAACATAATCAATTAAAACAGATTTGTTAAGGCTTATACCATATTAGTAAATTATTTATATTACATATTAAATTAATTTTTTTTTGTAATTATTTAAACTATTTGTCTGAGCAAATTGCTGCCTCTTGAGTTTAGCTCTACTGAGCGAAACAACCAGGAAGTAACAGGACCAATTGACAGCCAGGGGGTGTAACAAGGTTAATTTGTATTGAAACCTACACTTTTTGTACAATGAAGAGGACACACTATTGATATAAGAAGCACGTCAGCAAGCTAACATGCTTTAGATGTTTGGAGTGTTACTTTAACTATTCAACCCCTTCAGGCAAGCCAGTGCACAGGACTTCCTTGCATTATGACAACACAATTCCAATTAAGTTGTTATGGTGCCTGGGTGTCCCTTTAAATCAAAGATGTTTTTACAAACCAGCACTTTTGATCCTAAATTTGTTTTTCAAATCACAACCTGTCTAGTAAAGTTAACAAGCTTATTCAATAAAGTGTGAAGTGTGGGAAAATCAAAGACCATTGCAAATGTTAAGTCAAATGCTCTCTGAAGTTGATCACCCCTCTGTGGAGGTCTCAACCGTGGTTCCTGCGACTGCTGGAGTTGTCGATAGATTATCTACGGTTGATCCCGAGTTTCCAAGAACTCCTTCTGGATCCAGATGGGAACTCGCACGGACTGGTGTTACGAGGCCAGCTGCCCCTGATGGCGTGGCTCCTTTCAGGGGACCTTGGGATGTCCCAAACGTTTCGCAATCGACTCTCCTACTCCTCGATAATGCATGGGCTCCAGGTACAAGAGCAGCCTACCGATCTTCATGGAGTTGTTGTCTAGTTGGTGCATGGGACGGTCAGTGGATACGGTATTGGCACCTCTCCATTTGATCTTAGAGTTCCTCACGCT